TCGTTAATAATTTTGGAAGGAGTATGGTACGGAACGCTGGACGAAAGAAGATAGAGGGGAAAGCTTACGAAAGAGCGTAATGATTCGTCGTTCGCGCTTTTCGCCTATCAAGAGCTCTTCTCTCCTTTATTAATGGACGCGCATAAGCGCGCCCGTGCGCGATCCTCTGTCACGGAGGAAGATTAACGAAGGTGACGAAAATTTTCGGTGCACGAAAATAGTAGCTCGGTCCGGCACGTTTATTGGAGAACGTACGGACGACGACGACGTATGGAAAGGAGGGGTGGATGACGTAAGGGAGGAAAGAGAAAGAGAGAAAGAGAGGGAAAGAGAGAGAGAGAGAGAGAGTGAGAAAGAGAGAGAGAGAGAGAGAGAGAGAAAGCAGACGAAAGGACGGACCACCGCGGACGAGAGAAAACAGAATGCATAATAATAGCTCATAAATTTTGAGGCTTGTTTCCGGCTTCTGTAGAGGCACACCGTTTCATGTTTCACCATGAAACGGGTACCGCCACCATCGTATCCTGACCTGACCCAAGGCTGACCTCTCTCTCTCTTCTCTATTTCTATGCGTATTTGGCTATACGCCGGAACTGTTCGGCCGAGAGATCATTTGCATTCCGATAATTCCGTTTATTTCCTTCCCACGGATGTTCGTTAAAAAATAGGATTTCGCGGCGGACCTTTCGGCTGTGTTATTCCACGGTTATTTCACTCGCGGCAAAGTGTAAAATTGCTTTCGCAGTGAACAGAATAGGAGGAGGAAGGGGAAAGGGTGACTCCCCTCCGGTGGGAAAGCTACGATTCGCTCGATTCCGGTATTATCGCACAGTAAATCTATGGAAAGCTTTTGAGTTCTACCGTAACGATCGCATGCGGAAAAACGTTTATTTAATTTGGGATAGAATTATGAATACACAAAATACAATGGTGGTGCGATAACCGATGTCGATCTGATAGACAATCAACGTATAGATTGATAAATCATCGCAAATAGTTTCGTTCGATGTATATGATCTAATGCTAATGACCCAACGTTCGCGATTAGATTCGCGTTCGCTTTGATTGGGTACGATCACGTCGACGATTGTAAAAATTTATGTGGTCTACAGTTCCGGTATCGTGATTTTATACTACATCTACATGTATACATATGTGCATTTCGATGACGTGATGAAAAGCGAAGCTTTCGAACTGGAACGATCGCAAAAAGCTTTTTTTTTTTAAACGACCAAGTGGCAGATGGTACGTTAATATTGTTTCGATCATTCTCTCTCTCTTTCTCTCTCTTTCTCTCTCTCTCTTTTTCTCTTTCCTGTATCATTCTGCAGAAACATGTTGCCTCAAAGGATTGAAACTAGCGGCCGTTTTCCGTGCTTCCAAATGTCGCACTTTCGTGCTTTATAAGTGCTGAAAAGATAAAACTTTTTTATGACTCCTAACTGTTAATTGAGAATATATAATATGAACTCGTATATCGTGCGTATTTGAGTAGGAGCAAATTTTTTTTATTGATAATAGTTATTTTATCAGTTTAATTGTACAGTTTAATTGTATTTGAAAATCAAATAAATCAAGACATACGTTTAGATATCGTTAATAGTTTTTCCCAAATTTGTATCATGAGACCCTTTGAAAATTGATAAATAGGCCATAGTTAACGTCTATTATGTTTCCATGATATTTCTATAAATTCATTCATTCAATAGACTATAGTACGATTTTAATTGCATATATATATATATATGTATGTCTATGTTATTTATAAAATAAAACGAATTTTTTCATTTATTATAATTTCTATACTATTCTATATATACTATTCTATCGTGTTATTAAAGAAAAACCTTTCTTTTGTGTATTTCATTTATAAAATTGACTAATATTCAACTGACCATTGATTATTCTATAATGAATGAAACAGAATGAAATAACGATTCATGATTTTGTTACGATTCGGAAATGATTCAAATAAACTTAATAGTTTGATAAATTGTGGAAACTATAATAAATAATGTTCGAGATATCAAAACTAATTAATATTTGTTATAAAGAAATACGACGAAATAAATATTAGTTGTTTTTCTTTTCTTTCCTACGAAGATGGAAAAAGAATGTGAGAAGAATATATTATGGCAAATACTCTAGCAAGGATTCAGAGGGCGTGGAAAATCCTTATTATCGCGTTAGAAGATTCTGAAAGGCTACGGTGGAAAGACGACTCATAGAATTGCATCGTAATTTAATTCTGAGCGGACGGTTCGCAATATTTTTCGTTTCTCTTCTTCTTTTTTTCGTTTTGATCTTCTCTCGTAATCTTTTAGAATTTAATTCGCGTTAGCGATACTCACGCACCGGTATATTTCGCTACGCCTTTCAATGCGACTCCTTCCATGATGACTGGGTCGCTCGAACCTTTCACGTTCACTGCATAAAGGGCAACAGTTGTTGGTTTGTGAAGCTTCAGTTCCCATATAGGATTCAGCGATTCGAACCTTTGCTTGTCCACAATGGCAACAAACTTTTGGGGTAGTCCGCCGTCGTAACCCTCCACGCAGGATATCTTTATCCACGAGTCGCTTTGATTGTAGGCGGTACAATTTTGCAACGGGTAAGGTCTGCCTGCGAAGTAAACAAGCTTTTTTTATCAAAGAAATTAACATGTCAATATGTATATATATATATATATATATATATATATATATACATTAAATATATTAATAGTACTTTTCACCTTTGAAACAATTTGTCAAAAGAAAGAATTATTTCGATATCAAGTTTGCAACTAGAACGTTTTATTTAGAACATACGCGGAAATAAATGTGTTCGTCATTAACGGAATAAATGGAAATGTTGAACCCACGAGACGTAGATACTTCAATATGTGTTGCAGAAAATTCTCTTTTTCGAATAATAATCCTTCTCGACGAAACAATCGATACGAGCGAAAAATGGAAAACCGGAAGAGGCAAACAGTGCCTGCTATATGAAGAACGGCAACTATTGCTCGGCGAACCGCGTAACTTCGTATTATTGCACAGGGGAAAAGTGCAACGTTATTTGGAACCTATAAGCGAACGTATAAAATTACGATTCTGCATCATAATTATCCAATTCATTATTGACAGTACGCTTAGCATTAATTGTCACTAACATATACGAACATATACGTAAATAAAAGCAATTGTAATATCGGTGTATTATTTTACGTTCATTTAAATTTTCAATCAAATTATGAAGAGACAAATAAATGAGATCATCTCGAAGATTTGAAAAAAATTCGAAGATAAAAAGGGATAACATTCGTTCGTTTTCATTCGCCGCCGTTGGCATGCATCGTCGTTTCGTTTAACGATTTAATTACCAATGAACGAACGTTTCCTATTGCTTTACGTAAATAAATATACGGAGATATTGTCAGTGTACGACGATAGAACGTAGATAAAAAAATGAGGAGTGCGAAGAAAGCAGGGAAGGTTACGAGAAGAGAGCAAGCGGGAGCAAAAAAGTGCTGTCCGGTAATTACATAAGAAATACATTGGCCCTTCGTGTAAAATAAATTATGTGTCCAATTACCGCAAGCAGCACATAGAAGGAAGGGTGGGATCCAGGGAGTACTTGAGTCAAGTCGACGCGGCGAAATATTCGACCGAGTCGAGTCTGGATCGTTCCCGTGGTGATTTGGACAAAAGCATCTAGTAGCGAATTCGCACGGAAGCAGCAAAAGTTCGGTACACTCGATACGTATGTCGGTACTATGATACCTTTGGACAATAGTTTTACGTTTTCAGCATCGCCTGTCTCCATTGCCTCTCTTCGGTACGTAATGAACATATTCAATTATGGTTTTCATTAAATTTTCACAAATACGCACGCACCAGGAGGCGCGACGTGGAAAAGTTTTGCACGATCATGGGCGCTCGGGCGCAATGCACCGAGGTGTTTTTCGCTTTCTCACTCCGATGGATACGACGGATTTTTCTTTTAATCTCTCGTTTAAGAGTCTCGAAGAAGAGAATGGAATTCTTTTTTTTTTTTATAATCGTCAAACAGTTAGCTCGAAAACGTAACGCGCTTAGAATAAAACGCGTACATAAATTTCATATCGATGTACATTGACGCGAGCTTCCGGAGAAACAATAAATTATCTCGAAAGCTGATTTTATGTTGCATTTGTTGCAATCAAATCTAAAATCCTATTTAAATCTAAAAATATATGTAAGATAGATACTGTCATAGGAAATGATAATAAAATTGAACGAGAAAAGACGTACTTAACTATTTGGTGACTAATATTAGATATATAAGATAGGTATTTTCTGACGATAAGAAGGACGATACCTTGTCGATGTTGTTTCTATTTCGAGAACTTAACTAGACGAATTTCGGGAGAAACATGCTGGTGGATGGAAAGGACCAATGTGTAGGAAAGGTAGGATGAGGTAGGAAATAGGATTAAACTTGCACGAACCTGCTGCTATAACCTGATACAGGCAAGGTTGCTTAGATTGGCCAACGACGTTGCTTGCCCAGCATCCGAGCGTCCCATAGTCCATATCCGTTGACGGAGTGTAATTCAGTCTGCTTATCGTACTCTCGCTAGTATATTTCGTGGACGGAATGTCGTTCAGATCTCCGCTGCTGTTGAATGTCCAGTGGAAGGTCACCGTCGTTGGATTCGCTTCAACCTCGCAGACTAAGCTTATGGTTTCGTGCTTCAAGGCACCATGCACGTCTTCCGGAACATTAAAAGGCGGTGGCGTGGCGTTTTGATATCTCCAACCTCCAAAGTTTAACACGTGCTTACAGATCGGTGAGACTAAAGTGGAATGAAGTATTTTATTTCTCCTTTCTGTTTATAATATGTATGAATGGCTGGGGTCGTTCGATATAATAGAACCAATGTTATTAGAATTTTGTAAACATACACTCGGGAGGATCTTGGAAGGAACATAATATCAACAAGCTTGAGATGACTTTTAAACAGTCGTTAGCCAGCAGCCGTACGGATCAGTTGTGTTTTTCGTTTCGTTCTATGTATTTGCGTATATCTTTTATCAAAGTGATTTTATTATGTATTATTATATCAGTGATATTTTAATCGATTATTTTCACGTTTAATTCTCTCTAATATTTTTACAGAATAATTTATAATAACAATTTTCTATATAAGATTCCCGTGCGTTATACATGTCGTTTTGTTCGTTACCTTCAATGAAAATTATGTATAAAAGACGTATTTTGATCAATTTTAAGTTTTACAGCAAGTAATCGTGCAGTGTGAAACGTGTATTTAACAATGGAAGAACGAAAGGAGATCGGAGTGATTCGACGGCAAAGAGAGAAGAAAGAGAAAAAGAAAAGAAAGAAGAGAAGATTAAGTTCAAACAATAGATTAAGTGCGACGTTGATTGTATCATCGAGCTTTTGTGGCTTATGTGTGTCGTAAACGTAAGTCGAAAATCTACGATCATTTCCATCATGAATTTATTACTTTCACACTTATTTATTACATATTCGTATTTAGTTATATTCGAACATTTAATCGATTTATGAGGGACAGTAATTTTATTTTTTTTTCTGAATCATGTTTTATCGCAAAATCGAATCGGTGAAAAGCATTACGTGTAGCAGCGTTATATTTATAGATCAATACGATACTAAAGTTTTCATAAGAAACATTTCGTTCGTCTACCTTTTTCTTTATTGATAATATTTGATCGTAAAGAAAGGTCGAAAGACGGGGAATTATAAAAATAATGAGTACGATAAACATACTCACACATAACCTCTAGATTGACGACGTTAGAACTCTCTTGACCTTCGAGATTGGTAGCCATACAGGTGTACTTCCCAGCGGATTCTCGTGTTATGCTTTGAAGTACCAGAGAATGGTCTGAAAGCACTATGCCGGCGGTAACGTCGTGATGGAGTTCTTCCTCCTAAATAAACAACCAAAAAATATTGAGGACGTCAAAGAACTGCGCATTAGATTTTGTTGTCGTTTCATCGTTAAGGTAAAATAAAAGAAAAAGAGGGGATTAATAAAATGACGTACAAAGAATAACAATATGTTGTGTAATAAAAAGAGGAAGATTGGATATACGTACGTATACATATATTCCAGAAATGTGTACTTCGTTAAAAGTAATACAATAGTCCATTTTTGTTGTTTTTTTTTTTTTTTGTTTTAATGAAAACTTCATAATGTTTGTTTGCGGACTACAATACTCAAACTTGTCTCGCAACTTTTCTAGTATTCATAGCCAAAAGAATTTTATAATTTGTTTTTTCAATGGCAGGTTCGGCGTAATTTAAAAGTAATTTTACGATATGTGGTAGACGAATAATAGCGTGAGATGAGTCTTTATTCGTCGGGTAAGGCACAAGGGAGTAGAAGGAAAGTCGAGTTGAGCGGCGATTCGATTCTCGGCGGTTGACGCTCTCTGGTCGCGAACGGTTAGTTCGAAAAGTTAATTCTCTGGATGAAGTAACTTGGAAAAGTTAACGTAACCTTCGGCATATCTTTCTTCTCTGTAATTTCTCTATTACTAACTATATGACACTTTCCAGCATCTTTTCTTCTCCCTGATTTATTTCTTATGCATTCTAATTTACAAGTTATTATAGTTCTTTTTTTTTTATTTTTTTCTCTAAGATTCCGTTGTTACGCAAAGTATTTCTTGAAATATTTCGTATATTGCATATTTTATTCGTATTAGAATATCTCCGATTTATTACCATCCATCAAACTACAAATTGTGAAACTTCTCTGCTCATTTTTGATTTTATTCTTTTTTAACATACGAATCAAAATTTTTTGCCTTCGATTATTCAAATAATTTTTTTAACATCATACTTTTTAATCAATATCGAAAAGAGGGAGAGAAAGAGAGAGAGAGAGAGAGAGAGAGAGAGAGAAGAGAAAGAGGGTAAAGCAAAAGTGATTCATTTATGTATTTTATATATATATATATATATATATGTAAAAGGTGTGTCAATAGTTTTATCGAGTAACTAAGTTAACGTTCAACTTTGTATTCGGCGGAGTTGCTTTCTGATCAACGAAAGTGACGAGCGTACTCGAGGAAGGAATCACGGCTTGTTATACATTGACTTTGTCATCGTCGTCGTCGTCGTCGTCGTCGTCGTTTCGACGGAAATGGCAGGACAAAGAGAATTTACGATGTACTAACTCGAGTAATGTCTCGTCCTTCATTCTATGTCTTGTACAACATTCAACGTGTCCATTTGATGTCCTTATACTGACACACATAGACACGTAGTGTCAGTAGATACATTAGTTTTGTCTCTTCCTAACTCAAGCAACATTTATTGTATATGGATATCTGTATACACAATAGCGACATTATAATTTCTAAAAGTAATGAAAAAGATTTACAGATCAAATGAAAAATAATGCGATTGAAACGAGAGAACTTTTTTAACGACAGAGATTGAGTTTAAATCTGGATTGCGCTCTTTTCAAGTTTTTGACGTTGATGGATACGATGTGAAAAGATTGTTTTATGGTGATATCTAATAATCCCTTTTCTATGACTCTTACAAGGGTCGTAACTTCTTCAAGTTTTCATCTTTGTATGAAGATTTTTGTATCGTTGAATTTTTTATTTTTTTGTTTCTTTATTTTCATTGTTCCGTCGTTATTTCCCGTAAATTTATATTTACGATAATATCTCGTAATACAGGCATACATTAGAAAAGTAAAAATTTTTGAAATGAACGTTGTAGTCTTTTCTCGAAGCAAATTGGCAAATGTGAAGTAGATCGGAGCGTCGTTTATTTGTTAGGTAAAAATTGTTACAACTATCTTAATTAAAGTTTAGATATTTTGGGAGAACAAAATTATTCGACATAGAGCTTTCTAAGAATTTTAGGTCAATACAGATTACGTTATTATGGATTTTCGACAGTAAAAGAAGAAAATATTACGATTCTAGAAAGTAATAATCATACAAAGGAAGTTCTCTGTCGTGGAGAAACGAAAACGTCAAGAAAAACGTGTTGGTTAATTCACGTCGAAAATTGAGTTACTCTTTGCGGCTCGTAAATACGAGTGAGGGCGAGAATCTTGGGTGTCTCGAGGTTCGTTCGAGAAAGTTTCATGTCGAGCAAGGATCTGAATTTTCTACGTGAATATATTCTCTCTCTCTCTCTCTCTCTCTTTCTCTCTCTCTTTCTCTCTTTCTATATGTTCTTCTATATATATATATATATATATATATATATATATATATATATATATATATATATATCTTCCTCTTTCGTCGACGAGTTGGCGGAGCTCTAAGTATTATTTGCAAAGTACGTCGAGCAGAGGGAAGCAGAGTAGTCGCTAAATTTGGTTGGCACATACAATAGGAACGACTAAGATCGTGTCGGATCAAATAAGGTGTACTCTCGAAGAACGATGAAACGAACGCACATAAGGCCAAGTATCGTTCTATCTACTCGAAAGTGCTCACACGCACTCACTGTAGCGGCCACAAACTTTCGTGTTGTTTTATAAGTATCTAACGAGTACAGTATATTCGTTTATATTTGGTATCGAGGAGTTTACAGAAACTTGAATTCTTGCTAACGGAGCAAGTAGAACAGTTTGAATTTTAGCTTCAATATGTGTATACATTTGAACTTTATATTTTTATTTTTCACTATTTATACTTTTATTTAACAAAAATTTCCAAGACATAGGGCTTGGGTTTCGTATGGAATGCTAAGACAAAGAAAGATATTTTCAATAAAATATCTTTATTATATATTATTTAGAAGTAAACTAATTATTTCTTCCTATCTGTTCGTTTAGAAAACATTTCGATATCTAGTCTTAATCTTTTTTGACTGTTGTAACAAATTGATTAAACCGAATAAATTTTTATATTCATGTGCAATTTCATTGTATGCAAATATATACATATGCATATTAAGGTTTTATTTGTTGGTGAGTTTTTTCTTTTTTTTTTGCTTTACTTCTTAGTACTCACTGTGTTTATTTTTACTTTAATACAACATAAGAAATAAGGCAGAGATGATGCCTGGAAAGTTATCTAGAGCCGTCGCGTATCGGAGAATATTTGGTATTAAATATTCGTATTCCCTGTCGGAGCGATAATAGACCTACCGGGTTCATGTCTTCCAGCTATGAAAAAGCTTGGAATATACGCGCGGCACGTGCTCCTTGTATGCATGTGGCTGTCTGCGATCTCGGTTCTTTTCTTCTGACTTTCTCGAGACTAGCATACACACATGTTTATCTGTATTATAGTATTTATATATAAGATATCTACCTATGCCCTATTTTTGCGTCTGAATTGTGAATTATGCATCTTCGAGTTATAAATCGTGTATTTACGAGTTTATTATAAATAACCTATCAACGAATCATAATTTCGATTATTCGCAAGCTAAAAGATGATTTGTTATTATATGTAAAGTTATGGAAAATATGTAAATTTAATGTAATATTGTTGGAAAGTATACCAAGCGAATCATGCGAAATCCTTTTATTCGTATATTTTTTTCGTTATAGTAACGTTCATAATATTACCGAGAAATCCATGACTCGTGCTATGCTTTATGATAGTCTATGAAATTAGAGTAATATTATATTCCGGTATGACTCTGTTATTAAATTAAGACCAGGGCATTAATTAAAACTTCATCGACGCATTCGAAAATACAGTTTTTTCATTACCGTACGATTCCAAAAAAAAAAAAAATGCAACAATTTATATTTTGCATTTACATTAATGTGATTCGCATGAGAAATAATTATTTAGTTGTAAATTGAATTTACCGTATTGAATTTACGTAGTTATGAAAAAAAAAAAGAAAAAAAATAAATTAATTGTTATTGCAAGATGTTATTCCTTTCACGGATAAAGTATGTAGTATATTATACATATTTACAGACAACAGAAAGAGAAGCAGTTTTTCGATTACATCGATGTAATAAAAGAAAAAGCTTTTATTATTATGAATGACTTTAAGGTCGGACTACGTTGAATTTCGTCTAGCAATATAGTAGTATGGTAAATTAAAATACGATCTTTTCATTCGTAGGTACAGTTAAACGACTAAGTGGACTGAACTTTCTTCTGTAATAATCCGTAATATTTTTTTTTTCTTTTTTTATTGAAAAATAACGATTAAAGGAACATGTAATTGTATGTGCATGCACTTTCCGACTGGAAAATTTCTTTTTGGTCGCATCAACGATTCTGACGTGTTACTTTTAGGCAAGATGCATTTGCGCTCTTACGAGATTAAAAGGTACTACCCAATGTACTTCAAAGAATCGACGGAAAAGTAGAGAAGAGTGAATCGATAATACTCTCTATTCTTTCTTCTTTCTCTTTCTCTCTCTTATTCTAAAAGTTTTATTTCACGACGAATGATGGGATAGTGCCGTACGGTGAAGAAAGCGGTAA